CAACATCCCAGTGAGTTCCTGTGCCCTGGGCTTGGAGCTGGGCCAGAAGGTGGCTCCACAGCCAACTTAGTGTATTTTAAAGCTTGAATAAAATGCCAAAAAAAAAACCCAAGAATTTTAAGCTAGAAGAATGTGGGGCTTAAAACATTCATGAACTAGTGAAGATCTTTTACCTTGATCATTTTAAAGAGAAGTACTGGAGAGAAGATTTGTCTTTTGCCCAGCAAGAAAAAAGTGAAGAAAAAGTATCTGCAGCCTCTGTGTTCCCTGTTTATGATCTATCCCTTCCTGTTCTTCCTGAGGGTTTGTGTTCATTTAATTCTATTTTTCCTCACAAAAATAAACCTCCAGTATGTATTTTAATTTATTCTCAGACTGCTGTAATTAAGTTGCAGATAAACACACGGTTGCCATATGACAAAGTGATATTGAAAGGAAATGAGACACGGAATTTTGTGTACTCGGGCCTTGGTTATGCTGGGTTGGCTCTTCTGTAGACCTACAGCCTAGATCCAATTAGGAAAATACAAAAATTATGGAAAATTATTGGTCACATTGTGAGCATAGTGACAAACTGAATCATGGCTGAGTCACGCACAAAAAATAATAATGTTATGGAAATATGGAAGGAGGAAAATAAGTGGCAGTGAAAATAGAGCAGGGGCCAAAAAAGAGAAGCTGTAATCAAGGGAAAAGGAAAGAAAGAACAAAGCAGAGAGATTTCACTGGCAATGAGTAAAGGCCACTGGATTTGGGGCTGGTGGTCAGTGGCTTCAGGTACTTGTGCAGAACATTGACTGATCTACAAGAGGAAGCTGCAAGATGGAATCTTAGCAAAGGCATCAGTCACAGATCTGGGCTGATAAAAAGGCCTGGTCTGAAACTAGGTGGGTGCAGAGCACTTTTTATCCAAGTAACCAACCAGCTGTGCCTGTGCTACAGGAGGGAGCCAGACGTGTCCTGAGCGTGGGAGAGATTCTGGTAAATGTTTGCAAGGATTTGCCCTGTCCAAGGTGACGTTCAAACTGTTATTTATAAAATCCCAGGATGGCTGGGGTTGGAAGGGACCTTTAAAGATCATCTCATCCCACTGTCCCAAGCTGCTCCAAGCCCATCCAGCCTGGCCTTGGGCACTTCCAGGGATGGGGCAGCCACAGCTGCTCTGGGCACCCTGTGCCAGGGTACCCCCACCCTCACAGGGAACAACTCCTTCCCAATATCCCATCCATCCCTGGTTTCTGTCAGTGGGAAGCTATTCCCTGTTTTCCTGTCACTATTTGCCATTGTCAGACTTTCTTATAGGCCCTCAAATCTGCTCCCAAAATTCTCCTTTCCTCTCCTAAAAAGTGAGACTTGTGTGCTGTTGTGTCACTTGCGATTTTAATTTTAAAAGCAGAGGACTGAGCATGGGGGGTGGGCTGGGACTGCCACGGGGACAAAACCACTTCATCATTTTAGAGAAAACCACTTTGTTCTCATGTTCTTCTCGCCCTTGGTTCTGCTGGCGCCGGAGGTTTGGGTGATTGGCATCACAGGGATCACCAGCAGGACTGGTTTGCTTGAGGAACTTTCCCTCATGATGGGAAGACGGGAGCTGTATTTATTCTGAGACTTAATTACGAGTGGTGAAGCTTCATAAATCCATTCTGAAAATGCAGTGTTTCTATGGGGTGTAATTTAGTTGAAGGGTGAAAGTGCATTATTATCTGTTCTTGGTTACAGTTCCTTTAGTTGCACAAAATGAGAAACTTCCACTTTCTAAATGTGCCTTTATTGCTTTAGTGAAATTCATTTAAAAAATTACTGGTGTTATGTCAGTGTTGGGATTTGAGGTCTTGGTGCTCCCAGCCATGTATGATTTCAGTGGATGATAACGTGGCCTTAGCTGAGCAAACCATACAGAGAAATCACCCAAATCAGAGCCCAAGTGGAGCCTCCTGGGCAGATTTAGAAATTGCTTCTCCCTATAGGAGAGCTCATGGTACCATAACTCTTTATTTATGTCCTTCTTCCAGAACAGCAAGTTCCGAATTAGCAGTAAAAGGGACCTGTTCCAGCTGGGAGCAGTCGTGTGTTCTTGCTAAGTGGGACAGAAGCAAATTTATCTGCTTTTATCTGGCATCTCCCTTGCCAATTTTGCTTTGCATTTGTAGCTACAGCTCTTAAGCTGAACACATTTATAACATTTTCCTTAGCAGAGATTTTGTGTGCAGAAAATTGCAATGCAGCTTTAAACAGCTGCAGAATAATATATTTTGTTGAGAAATAGCTGCTACAAGTGTATTCCCTGGGATGGCTCCACGTGTGTATAAAATCTGTCATGGGAGCAGGGGAAAGCTGTGCATTCCATCACCACGGTCCCTTTGTGGTTTGAGACTATTCTGTTCGAGACAAAAGTTCCCATAAGATTCCCTGCTTGGACTCCTGAAGGAGCTGGAAAAACGATTTCCGTCTAGGAGTAATAATAGCTTGGACTTTTGGTTTTGATCATAAGCTGACATTTAAAAGTCATCTGAGGAAAGATATTTCTTGATTAAAGTCAGGTTTTGCTTAATGCAGTTGTAGCTGATCCTTCCCATCTGCTATCATGTCTTTGATGGGATCTCTTTCCCTTGCCTTGGGTCTGGTTTACAGGATCCCTCAGGAGTTCCTGACTTTCCCAAGAGACCTTTCAGTGGCTCAGCTCATCCTGCTACTCTGGTTTGCTTGCTCAGCTTTGCTTTTCCTCAAGGAAAAAGTTGCTCACCAGAGAAGATGAGGTGGTAATGTACCCACAGAGCGTTTAGAATTGGGGATCTGTCCATGCTCATCCCTGTGCCTCGTTGTTCAGTCACCTGCCGTGTTTTAACTGTGGGATTCAGAACCTGTATTTTCTGTGTGGAATATTAGAGGCAGATTGTGTGACTGCATTTCCCAGAGTTCATTCCTGGAATTGTCAGTGTTTAAGGCTGCTGCTTGATCCTGGGTGTGGTAGTTTTGCTTCCTGCTCCCACTGGGCATTGGTGGAAGGTGGGAATGGCAGCCAGGATCCTCGCACGGATCTGCGCCGGGGCTGCCTCAAGCCGCTGCCAGGACTCGGGTTATAGCAAACAGGGACGTAGGTATTTGTGGTTTTGTGGATAGCTAAAATATGACCTTTCCCACTGCAAAGCTGGATTTTATCCCAAATCCTGTGAATTTTGCACAGGATTGGCTTCTCTCAGCATTCAGGTTGGTTGCCAGAGCCCCGGCACTGAGGGAAGGCACAGAACGGCCCTCGCTGTGTGCAGAACTCACCTGGGCTCCCTCTCCCAGGTACAGGGAAGCTTTTCCACAGAAAATCATACACTGGATTTCCTTGAGTTGCCTCTGGCTTCCATAGAACATAAATACCCCACACACAGGATATTTACAGGGGGGAATGTGTCCGTCACGGCAGCTGCAGAGGAACTCCTGAGACAGCCCCTGGGAGCATTTCAGTTTTGGCAATTGTAACTCTTACCTGGTTCCTCTGACCTGGTTTCTCTGGTGGATCCCAAATGTCTGGGTATGGGCAGATGCAGTGTGACTCAGTGTTTAGCTATGGGATACTTGGGATCCCTTGTAAATGAGGGATGCCCCAGCTGAGTTCCAGGTAGAAGCTAATCCTGCATTCCCAGTATCTACAGCCTGGAGCTGAAGGCTCGTTCAGTCCTCCCTGGCCTCTGACACCAGGCAAGGAGAGGCTCATAATGGAAATCAGGCATGGGTTATTGGAGGAGGAAAGCCTGGAAAACTTGTTTTGTTATCAGAGGGGCATAATTCCACAGGGAGTAAAGCTGGAAGAGGATCCCTGCTCTGCCGGATGAGTGACCTTTGATCAGCCACACTTCTAACACTGTAACGGCCCTGCTCAGTGTCCTCCCTTCTGTGTCTGTGTTCTCAGGATAGATCATGGTTGTTATCCTCACAGTAAATACAGTGCTGGATACTGGGTAGAAATTAAAATGAGCAAATTCCATGTGTTTTATGTCATTTGGCATCCTGCACAGCCCCCCTTCAGTTTGTCAGAAATTCCTAAACCAGAGCAAGGTCACATCTGGTAGCAATTTTGCTCTGCCAGATGAGGCGTAATCCCATAAAACCAAACTCATTTTCTCCAGTGCTGCTCAAAGCTGAGCTCTCCTGCTCCTTTTCCATAAGACCTGCTGCTTGTACTGGGAGCTCTGTGGAATGATTCAGGCTGGGAGACTTTTCACACTTTATAAACTGCAAGGTTTGGAACACAGCTTTGTGTCCAGCACACGAGGCAGGACAAGCAGGGCACAGCCCTGGAGTCTGTGGCTCCATTCCATTTCCTTTTCCAGCAGCACGTCCCTGCTGGATGCTATTCCTTGGTGCTGGGTGTCTGTGCATCCCCTCATTCTCTGGGTAACCTGGCACCTGCAGGATCCATACAGAGCCATGAGTTCTTTCACATGCTTTTAAAATAGCTCTAAAGTTCTGGGGCTTTCACAAGGCACATCAATCACATCAGATTGACTAACAAAGTAATGGAGCAACCATCAACCTTTGCACATTGTAGTAACTGAAAATAATTCCCAGAAACATGGGATTTTAATATGAGCCAGTATTTTTATGTTTGATGATGTTACTGTTGTCCCATATTTTGCTAACATTGGTTATTTTGGCATCTCATTGCCTTAATTACTCTTTCAAAGCCTTGTGTGGAGCTTGGTGTCCACCTCAAACTAGAGCGTACCAGTGACGTGTCATCACTCACAGAGGCAGGGGGGTGACAGGGTGATGTATTATAAGATGTTATTAATCCAATTACTGAACTTAGTTAAATTAAAAATGTTTTTTCAAGGTTTCTTGGGTTTTATATAAGAATCTCAAAAAAAAATAAACCAACAAGTCAGAATTTCAGAAAGTATTGTTAGTCTTAACTTAGTGCAATCCACTGTGACTGGGGAGCACTGGGTAGGAACCACCTTATCTGCTGTGGTTTTTATGAACCAGTTGAATCTTTTTGTTCACAGGCCAAGTATCCTGACATTGTGACCCTTCCAGAAGGACTGCTGGGAGATTTTATCATTCTAAAGAACCCCAAAATTTCTGGGTAAGCCAATAAATGCATTTCTGTATTTACACAGGTGAGGAGTTACACAGGCCTTCCTGTAAGAGATGTTCCATCTCTCATTTGGGATTTTCAGCAGGGGAAAAAAAAAATCCTTACAGTTAAATGTAAGATGGTGTAACTGTCACTGTCAAAAATTCTGTAAGGGGCATGAAAAGTAATTATTTTGTGATGGGACCAGACTGTTCCCTTCTCCTGTTAGACTTTGCTTTGACATGCTTTAATTTATATGGAAATAAGACACAGCTCCCTTCATTATGTTTGTGTGTAGAACTAGCAAACAAACTAACAGATGATGCTGTTTCATTCAGCCAGACTTGCCCTATAAAACTAAATGCTTTATCTTAGGGATGCAGGAATGAATTGTCCTTTGGCTATCCCAGATAGGGAAGAACTTGCTTTATTTTACAGTTTCTCCTCTGGTGCCAATTCCATTACCCTCATTCCCTCTCCACCACAGTCATGAAACACTGGAATATAAAAGTGATTTCAGTGGCTTGGTAGAAAACAGCCTGCCATAGAAATTTGTTTGCAAAATGCCAGAACAAGCTGTGCACAAATTCACAAAGGATTTGTAAAAATGAAGTGGCAAAAGGCCGATAAATCACATTGGAAGGGAACTCTTAGAGTCATGATGGGTTGAACACCATTGAGAAAGGGACCTTCCTCCTCACACCGACTCGCTGTGCAGACCAGCTCTGGATTAGGAAAGCCTTACCCTCCAGTAAGGGACTTGAGGGGTGGAGGGAACAAAGGGAGCTGTAAAGCAGCAGCTCTGCTGTGGATGTTGTTCTGGACTCTGCTCCTGCCTCGCTGTTGCCTGGGGATGGTGCAGTGATCTCGTCCCACTGAAAGCTGTGACTGGCCTTGCACAATCACCAACACTATTCCTGAAGAAGTAATGATGGTGTTACGCTTTATTTCCCTTTATAATTAAAAGCAAAGGAATGTAGGCCTTGGACAGATGTCTACCTGCCATCAGTCTAAAAAGGCCATGAGTAGCGGGGCAGCCCTTATGCCAAGCCCAGCACATCACCATTTATGCAAAAACTTCTGAAACAAGTTTCCTGTTCTCAGCACCTGATCCTGAGAGTAGGTATTACATGAGGGATAGAAACAGGGGACACTCAGTGCTCTCCTTTGCTTTCCTCTCATTTTTACTGCACTGTGCAAATCTGGATGTAGCCAGAACCCTTCCTTGTCTTTGGACTGATGTGTTCCTGAATCCTGAGATGGTTCCTTGCATTACATGAGGTGAATGTTGTTGCAGAGTACAAGGTTGAGCCTCACGCCTGCTGCACTTTCTGCTTTGAAGGAACCTCAAAGACAGTACCTGGTTAACCTGAACTGCCTTTCCTGTGCACCTTGTACAGGTTTGAATTGATGATTGTCTGGAAGATCCATCTGGATAAAGAAGGGACCACGACACCTGTCCTGGATCTTCTGCCCAAGGCACCAAAGCAAGGTAACCTCAGTCACTTCAGGGACTGTTCCTGAGCTGCCAGGCCCTGGTTTTGGCCGTGGAACTCCAGCTCCCAGAGCCCAACCAGACAAACCCGCCCCAATTCAGCAGCAGCTACACTTCACCTCCTGTGTAATCTCCAAGGGCTCACAAACCCTACAGCTATCCTGCTTTTACCCACCTGCTGTCAGCACTGCTGCAACTCTTGGAAAATAACCTGCACTGCTCTGTTTCTCCTGCAGTCCTGGAGCAGAGGATGAGTGTGGAGAGCATCCCTGGCAGGTTCCGGAGCGCGCTTCGGCTCTTCGGGATCGAGGCAGCCATCGAGAACCTGATCAAAGTGGTGGGCTCAGAAAAATGAATGCCAGCATTACTTACACCAGGCAGCAATTTCAAAAGTAGTTTTAATTAAGATATTGTGTTACACAGTCTATAATTTTATTGAATATAAACATTAAGTTATTTTCCATTTAGAAACCATACTCATAAAACATGCTATCTGTACAATTATGGCACGTTATATATAAATTGTCATGACATGAAAATAAATACAGCCATTTAAATACAAAAATGCCAAATAAAATAGTTACATGTACAGAGTGATTTCATTATAAATTTATCTTTCTGAATCATCAATGTACCAGAGTGGTTTATCTTCTTAACATTTTCTAGATACCTGGAAATTGTTAAAAGATCATGCACTGTCAAAATCAAGTCCATAAAAATCCATTTCATTTCACAGCTCTGTTAAAGTACAGTGATTTTAAAATGACAAGAGAACAGTAAGAGACTCCTAGAACAAAGAGTTAAATAGTTTACTCATTAAATTAGGGTCGAAGAAGACAATTTGAAGATTTCAAAGACGTAACAATGCTAAAAAACCCAAAGGTAACTGTATGAAGTAACTTTGTTCCACGAGGTGAGTGTTGAAACAGCGTTAATCTAACCCAGAGAGGCCCATGACACCCCTGGGAACAGGTGAGTCACCTCCTGCCCACTGCAGCACCTCCTTTGCATTTCTGACTTCCATGAGGAAATTATGGTAACACATTAGCCAAGCATCACCTTTCACACATTCATCCCTGAAGACACAAAACAAATCAGACCAATGGCTTGCCTCTCCCTTCCTTTCTATCAGATGTGCCATGAGCCCATCTGGGAACTCTGTGTTTCCAGGAGCTCCTGCTCTGCACTAGCCCTGCACCCCAACCAAAGCGATGTGACTGGAAGTCAGGAACTTTTCAGGTGGGGAGTAACAGTTCCTGGAACCAAGAGCCCAAACCCACAGCTCTGGGATCTCATGTGATAAGAGCCCCCCTTTCCAAGGCCAGAGCAGCTGGAGCCCCCGGCAGCACAACTGCCCACTCCATGCAGCACTGGGAAAAGAGGTGGAGAAATCTGAACTAAAGCAACACTATGTTTCTAATCCCATAAATGTAATAATCCAGTGTTTGATCACTGAAATGATCTCTCACTGTTACGGTAGATTAGGAAAAACTGACAGACCAGAGCCTAGTTTCTGCCAGACTCAACAGCTGAGCAACACCAGAGATTGGGTTCTGATCAATGGAACTCTCTGTTAGATAAGGCAGGCTCATTTTAAGTTTGGAATCCAGTACACAGGCAAAATCCATTCCTTCTCCACTGACATGGAAGTGGTTGGGCTGGTTTTGTGTAACCTTTAGTTCAGTTCATCTTTAGCTCCCTCCTCCTTGCCTGAAAACAAAACTGTTTGCTCAGCACAGACACTGCTGTTTGCATATGAAATATGTGTAAAGTTACAGCATAAAAACCTGGAAACTTCCCAGCCGTGCAGGGTCCTTCCTTCCTTCTCTTTCTAATAGCTGGAGGGTTTCTGGATTTAGAAGTAGCTCTCTCCCCTCCAGGTTTTCTTTGGGAAGAAGGGGTTATTCCTGCTGCCAGCTCATTGCACTGTTGTAATCTCAAATCTCAGGCCCTGCCCCAAAGGGCTCCTGGCACTGGATGCCAACACTGACAGCTCAGGTCTCTGGCACAGGGGTAGTGGTGGCTCTGTGTTTCACATTTCTTCCTTGAATTGTGCCAAGGTACAGGGGATCCTATTTTTGAATTTCAGATAAAGTGGAACAATTCAAAGGTTACACTGAGGTCCCAATATAAATCTGTTTTTAGGAGTTAAGATACATGACCCTGAACACCATTACTGGTAAACACAGGCTGTATCCAGGTAAGAGCTGTTCACTGGGGCTGGAGGAGCATCTCTGCACCATTCAGGGGGTGTTGTCCTTGAGGGAAAAGGAGCTGCAGATTTTCTCACTGTACCCTCAGGTTTGGCCATACCCTTCAGTTCCAGCTCAGGATTTTCTCCAGGGATGGCTTTACTGCAGCACCTCCCCAGCCTTCAGCTGCACAGAGCACTGCTCATATGTAGCACTGACACAAGCACACCCTGGCACAAGAGTGACCCACTGCAGCTGCAGGAAAGAAAATGGGATTCTGTCACCTTTTCCCTGTGCCATTTAAAGCAAAAGAGACTGAAAGCAGCTGCTCATGCTAAGCAGTGTGAGGCATCAGTGTAAGAGTGCCAGTGTTTGACACTATCTGAAAGACCTGAAATTATCTGTAAAACTCAGAATATATTCTTATAGCTCAATCTAAATTAGGCAAGAGCGAGCTGTGATTTCACCTCCAATAGCAGCATATAAGATACAGAAACAATAAAAACCAGCATGGCAGGTGAGTTAAGCACAACTATTATGTAAAACTCAAGGTTGTTTACCTTAACCTTTGCACTTCATTTCAGAAGCTTTAGGTAGATACAAGGTGATCACATAACTTCTGGAGGCAGCCTGGTGTTCCTAGTCCATGCATTAGTACTTAAATGTTCTGCAGTGCCAGGGCAGTTCCACAGATCAGCCACTGCATGGTTGTATTTTCAGTGGAGTAATGCTAAAGTGTTGTATAGGTTTTGCCAGAGCACTCCCTCCTTTAGCAGGGATGAGGGAGACTCAAAGCACAGGCTCCAAGGCAATTCTCTTGTTAGTAATTAGGCTTTCTAAGTTAGTGCAATATTTCAGGAAACCTTTAAATTCTGTGCTCTTTCAATTCTAAGGAAGCAGACTTTGTATTAATTTGATCTGTCCTCTAGTTCCAAGGTATGGCACATTACCTGTTCTGTCACATTAAATACATTCATTAAGGTTATCTAGCAAACGTGTGGCTTACTGCTATCCCAGGTCTCTGAGAAGGCATTACCAATTAGAAATCATTTTATAAAGCAAAAACATTCACAGCTGAAAAATGCACTGAACACAATATAAAAGAAAAAATAATCACCATAACTGTATTCCAATAATCTTTCACTTTCTCATCTGTTTGAATAAAAATAACCTTAAGGGAATGGTTACACTTTATGGAGAACTAATGTGCAGTCTTCATTCTCCTTGAAGAGGTTGGACATAACTGGGTCCTCTTTGGCCTGTACATTCTTCAGGTAATAGTTGACTATTTCACCATCAAGTTTGTACTGGTGGGGGATGCTTTCATAGGGCTTCAGGTCCAGGTCCAGCACAGAAACAGAGAAGGTGAATCTGGATTTGGATGTCAGTACCACAGGTCTTTGCTCAGAGCTGGAAAATAAAACCACATTGCACATCTGAGTCATTGAAACCAGTATTTTTAATTTATGCATCCCTTTACAGAAGTGACTCTAATGTTTATCTTAGAACTTTCGTGGGAGCCCAAGAAAATAAACTGCAGCTAACGTAGCACTTGGGAAACTATAGCTCCAGCTTTACCAGTCCTGATGGGGCCTTGCTGGCACCTCTTCCTTACATTTTCCTTTCAGCTTCCACACAGCTGAAGTCAAACATTACTCCCACTTACTGCATTTAGTAAATCTAAGCTGTTTCTAGGTGGTGCTTACAAAGCAACAGCCTTATTAACCAGCAACAGCAGAAAAGGGACTGCAACTCCTACTTAGGTTCAAGGTAATAAACATTCAGTATTGCTGTCCAGGCATGCTAAGGGATAGAGGAGTTTGAAGCCAGCCATTGCACAAGTCATGTCCATCACTAACACTTCACTGGAGAACTGCAGGACAAATGCAGAAAACAGCATTCTCTAAAAATAAAAGGGCTCTGGTGAAGCAAAGCCCCCTGCAGAAGAACAGATTAGCACTGCTGACACAAGCCAAAAGGGATAATATTGTGGCAAAGCCTCCTGCCTGACAGCCAAAGCTGTCACCTCTTGATTATTGCCTTGGTTTTATTCTAACTAGGCCATTAAAAGCAACTCAGTTTGAAAAGCTCTCCTATGAGAACACCAAGGCAGAAAAATTGTTCCTAGTAAAAACCCTCCAAAGTCAATGAGCAGTCAATTCCAAGTTTAAGAAGGGAATAAATATAAAATGTTGATCCTTTTGATCAACTTAAAACTCTTCAGAAAGAGACATTGGTCATAAATATCTTAAATCAGAACTATACTAAAATGCTCACAGCACTTTGGACACACACCCCACCCCCCCATCCCACACTTTTTTTAAGCAATTGAATGCCTGAACAGTACAAACATCCTAATTTCCAAACAATTTGAGCCATTCCAAAGCAGGTACAAGGCAGCCCTTACCATTCATCTTGAAGGCAGGGGGAAAGGGCAATCATGATGGAGCAGTCTTTAGCAGTCATTGCTATTCTGTACTGCTGCACCTATACAATAGAAAATAACACACATTTTCTCTTAGTTCGGTGTTTACCTGAGTAAAGCTTCCTGTTCCTTACAAAAAGCAGCACTGCACTCCCTGTATTGGTACGTTGGCACTTTAAGAGCTGGAAATTCTCTCTGTAACAGAAGGTTGGCAGGAACAGGTGCTTTTGCATCCTGTATAAGAATCATGTTTATTTCCTACAAATCACATTCCTAAAGGCCAAACAGCACCAGTTCCTGCAAGTGCTTCATCAGTCTAGAAAGCAAATAAGCAGTTTTATTTTTCTCACAGGAACTGATGCTACAAGCTTGTTTTTAACTGTTTCTGCTATAAAGACACACCCTGACACAATGAAGAACTTGAACTACGCAGAACCCAACAAGCCAGCAGTGTTATCCATCCATTATCCAGCCCTTTCAGTGAGACAGAGGTTAATTAACACTGACAGACCAAACAACCTCAAGAAGTTGAAGTACCTTTGTTAATGCAAATGCCACTGTCCCGTCATCTTCCAGGGAAAGGTCCAGCAGCTTCTCATAAAATGCTTCATTGTAAGGTCCATCTATCTGTAATGTACTTCTAAATAAATGTTAAAAGAAGATTTACAAGACAGCCAAAATACGTTGTGGTTTTCAGTGTGATCTTTCCTCAGCAGCCCAGAGCCCAACAACTCTGATAAATGTATTAACCCACTGCCAACCAACATTGTAACAGTGCCTGTTAGATCACTCAAGATTTGCTGCTGCTTAGGATCTAGGTTGTGTGGGGTTTTATAAACATGAATCATTCTTAATCCACTGCCATCTCTGTATCACTGCAAAGTTATGGGGTTTTTGCAAAAAAAATGGGTAAGTTTATAAATTTGTAGCTGTCTAAAGGAGCTCCAGAAGCCTTACTGAAAATACATATATAAGAAATATATAATAATATATTGATATCTATTTTTTATATGTACATTATACTATTTTGTATATAAGAAGTATAATCTGGGGGTGAAGGCATATCTGACAGGGCTCCATTTGCTAATGGAGGGTGTCCTGGGCTCCTTTCCTTCCCCCTTTGAACAGCTGTGCCCCTGCTGAGAAGCTGAACCCTCCCAGGGGTGTTGGTCCCACACAAATCCCCCACAGATCGAAGAACACATTTTCCAGTGCTTTGTTTCCTGTGTAACTGCACAAGCAGCAGCAGCTCCTGAGTGAAGCCAGAGTGCCCTCATGTGAGCACAGGAGAGGAACAGCACGCCAGTGAAGGCTGCTTGGAACAATTATTATTACACCAATAAGCCTTATTTGAGGAAAAACACACAGCAGCTTGCATTCATCACTGCATTATTATCCCTGCAGACATTCCCAGCTCTGCAGGTACTGGGGACAGGAGAAACCACCCATTTCTCTGTAC